TAGAATAATGATATTATCAATGTTTTTCTATTTAAAAGCTGATATTTTCCAACTCCAGAAAAAAACCATTATCTTCCTCACTGTTTCTCAGACAAAGATTTCAATGGGTACCGTTGTGAATCGGTCCTGGCTAACCTGAAATTACGCCACTAGTTCTCTAGGACAATGCGAGGTTTGTCACAGTTTTTCCTTTTATATCAAGTATTAAACTAAACAAAGGAGAATAAGTCTCTAAAATGCATTAACGCCAGTTTTCCATTGTTTACAGTTATTATATTGTTAGTTTGAAACTGCTACAACGTTATTGGAAAACCAATTTGGTTTATTACTTCTTCAAGAAAGTTTTTAACATGTTAAATATATTTTACCGCCTTTTTACCGACATTACCGAACCATGATTCCCTTAACCCTAAACAGGTTTGGGTGGGTAGGGGGGGGGCCTTTTGCGCCCCCCCCCATTTGTAGTTTTTGGACCTAGCACTCTCATTTATGACACTAGCACCGTGAAATTTTGTGACTTTAATGAATAGATATTTAAAGGATTTTTTGTCAAATTTTTTTATCTAAAAAAGCCAATAATTTTTTTCGTGACTAATGCTAAAGATTTAAAAATTATATTTTTGAAAAGCCCCTGAAAAAGAGATGTAGAAACATGTGTCACATTTTGATATTTGTTTTGGAAAAAAAGATTTTTACATTTTTTTAAAAACTTTTTTTTCAACTCTCTTTAGCACCAAAACTGTTAAAGTTATCGGTCTAATTTTTTTCAATGAGCTGGCCTTTGAAAATTGGGCTATGAACAATGANCATTATTACATTGCCTAAAACTTTCAACATTTTAACTTAAAATCATGTAATAAAAATAATAAAAACTTTATTACACGTAATGACATCTTTAAATATTTAATACTAGCTGAAGTGCCAGGCGCTGCCCGTGGAAAAAATTTAAATTTAAAAAAATCGAATTAAGAAAAAATAGGATTTTTTACGTTATGGGTTTCCTAAACAAATTCAGCAATTCGACCCTTTTAGTCAATAGCTAACAAATATAAGCGAAGAGCTTAATTCTATAGATAATTGGCCCATATTTTATTTTGGTACCTTACTGAACACCAACAAAATTAACCTCCAAAATTTTAATTTCTAATTTTATAATCCACAAAAAAAACTACGATTATTAATAGAAAGACCTGTAAGCCTACACTGTAAACACAAACTGGGAAACCTACAGAAAATAGTTCCAATATTTCATGTGTAAGCATTTTCTGGAATTAAAGAACAAGAGTTTATCCACAGACTACACAGACTGCTCATACACTCTACCTGGATAGGCTGAGCAGGCCTGTAGTGTCCCGACACACCATGTATACGGTTTCATGTAATGTTTTTTGACTGACATCTTACGGCCACTTGTTGCATTCAGGGGTTAAGTTTTATAACTTTTAAAGAAATACTCCAATTTTAAACATAAAACATAACGTTTATGAATATTGTCTATTCAAAGGATCCATAAATATCCCTGAATACAGATGTCTCCTGATTGGTTGTGTACAACACTTGTACATAATAAAACATGCTGTGGAAAATATCACATATTATAGGTGTTAATCTATGTCTGTAACTCGATCTTACCTCTGAGTTTAACGAATCCAGAAACCGTATTCAATCTCTGTTGTTAAAATAGAATTGTGTTCTTATAACACGGAATAATGCTGGGCATCTAGAATACATTTCCTTAATATCACAATATTATTTCGATCATTTAAAATCATAATTTTAATTTTCTAAAATAACGAAACTGAATTAATCAAAAATCGTCCAACTCTTGGCAGGAGACGACAACCTAGAGCTAAAACAATCCAACAAAGGGATATGCCACCTTGACATCTACTCTTTATTACCCAAGGAGGACAAAATTTAATTATTCTTGATTTTTGACCTATCTGTGTAAAGGACTAAAAGAAGGAAAAATAGGATGTTTGGTGCTTTCTTATATCCAACTTGACGACTTACCAATTCACGTTAAAACTTTCCATTAAAGTAAAGAAAAGAATATTTTGATCAAAATTGTAATTCGAAAACTTTGTTTAAACTTTAATAAGGTTTCAACCTTCTTTCTCTCAAATGTTCTCACAATAGGGATTTCATTTTGTTTTATCATGACAACCGCCATTTAATTTTAAGTTATTTATGATAGATGCTTAAAGTTCGATTGAATGAGGTCAGAATTCAGAACTTATGTATTGTAAATCTCGGGATCAAGAATTAATCTCCATTTTTTATAGACCTACAGATCAATTTGATTCCTCTTTGATATCCCGCAGTGATCATACCCTGCAGGGATAACTTTGATTGAGGTATTAAATGGACTGCAAAAGGAAAAATGAAAGGGGGTATCGGCTGAAACCTAAGCATTTTAGGATTTTTCATTTTTAATAGTTAAAAATATTATTTATACGTCCGTATCACTTGACCAGAAGTCCCACCAATGGCAGTGCAGTATTATTGTCACGTGTCTTTGATTCAAATAATGATAGGAGCAAACCTAAGTTTGTTAGGCTTCTCTAGGATATCATCGTTTTCAGATTGGTTGCGTATTTGCTCAATATAATCTATTTAAACCTACGATTTTTATACAAAATTCTATTTACATAAATTTTCGTATCAATTTTACACAGTTTTATATCAATTTCTCGAGACAGGAACATCAGATAGAACTCATATGGGTCTCGATCAACTTCTAAAATGCCTAGGTTTCAGCCTATATACCCCTTTTTTTCCTTTACAGTCCGTTTCAGCATTAGCCTACAATTTTAAAGTGTCCGCATTGGATACAGAGATCAAGCGCTCAAAAGCAACTTCACAGAATTTTGAAAATTGCATAACTATAAATTAAAGAATTATCAAGGAAAACTACTAGGGTGGCATGTTTGAATCACAGCAGTACCCCTTTAAACTGTTTCTGTTTAGTGTTAAAGTAGATATTCTTATTTTCTATTTAAAAATATAGATAACTTAGAATATTTTCGAGTTCCACTATTAGGGTGTCAGGGAATTCACGATTAAAATATAAAGTGCATTTTGTAATACAAGGCAACATATGAATATATTACACTCTCATATCTTACAAATACAGCTTTTAAATTGTATATACGGCGTTTAAATTATACATATTAGAGGGTGTGTGTGTATGAATGTTATCAAGGAGTATTGGATATAATAGAGAAGGACTACCATAAGATTCGCTAATGGTTAAAGAAATCGTTAACGGCGCATCTGTTAATGGCCTATTTCAGTATTAATGGCGCAAAGCGCCTAAAAAATGTTAATGGTTATGAAATCATTAACGGCGCAGTTTACAAGCGTTTAATCTAACTACAAGTTTACAAGTAATCAAAGTGAAATTCGCTATTTAAAAAACATACATTGCCTTTCCAAGGTTTTTACGCATATCATACAGTGGTAGGCGATTATATCAATGCAATGAAGACAAAATTTTATTCAAGTTTTGATTGTGTACAAGCTTTTAATCTAAATTTACAAGTAATCAAAGAGAAGGCTTTTCAATCGACAGCTTCTCTTTGTTTCCATGTTAATGTGTATCCATGCTGTTAAAAGCTTGATATGAACTAAAATTTAAATCGACAGTCGTCTTCATTCTATTGATATATGCGACGAAGACTGTATAATACCATGTAAACATTAATCCTTGCTCTAAAGAATGAATGTATGAAAGAGCGCCTATTTATAGACTAAAATATGATTGAATCAAATTTATAAACTCGCATGTATACTTTATAAACATAACTGAAGTAAAGTCTGAACTGGTTTTTGTTAATTTCTATATTTTGTCTATTTTCAAATTATGTTATGTAAAACTTTCGTTTTGTCCGTTTTCTAAACTTTCTTAAAGCTGTGTATATAATATAAGAAATATTATAATTATAAATGTAAAAATATGGCTTCCAACATCTTCAATTAATATTTCCATCCATGCATTGATGTGGTTGATTAATTTCTCTTATTATTTATCATTCTTTCATCTTAACTCCTGCCATATTAAACGAACTGTTAGTGTAATTTTAAGTGACCCTCCTCGCAATGTCCGATTTACAATGGTAATCCGAACTGCTTTATCTGGTCAAGTATGGGTTGAGAGTAGGGTTTGCAGCGAACAAAACGTTTTGCAAAAATTTTGTTCGTATTTCGCAAATTTTCGCGAAAATGAATTAAGCGAAAAAAGCGCGAAAAATACTTTCGCGAAAATTTTGCACTTCGCGAAATTTTTTTTCGCGAAAACCATAGGTGTTGAAGTATTTTTTTTGTCTTTTTTGATGAATTTTCGAAAAAAATTTGAATTTTGAATTTTCGCATTTCTTATTTCACGAAAATGTCACATTTTTTTGAGAAACAGATTGAAGCAAAATTTCAAGAAAAAAAGCGCAAATTTTGCATTTTTTTGGGAGCGAACGAAATGCAAAAAATGCAAAAATTTTCGCGAAACGATTTTTCCTTTTCGCTGCAAACCTTATAGTAGGGTATCAATATTTATGATTTTGAAAACTGATTATTTTAAATTGACTTCAAAGTGACTTGCGCAATTCTTCTGCTAGAAAACATATATCAATGATCAGAATTAAACACTATTAAACATAGAAAAACGAAAATATTTTCACATTTTTGATCAGATAAAGGTTTTTAATGATATCGCTGTGAATTGAGCATTGTCAAGTTTACATGGAAAAAAATTCGCTTAAAAGCAGAACATTAGGGAGACGAGAGTGTCGATAAACAAACTTCAAACATTCTGTTTCTAAATTTTCAGTCTAGGTTCATGATTTTTATTATTTCTGAATACTTTCTTATGCATATTATATCTTTGTTCAAATTTCAAATCCTTTCAACATTTTATTTTAAATCATGAATTGTTGAAAATCTATATTTAAACTTGAAATTCACCCCCCCCCCACACCGACCTTCCCCTCATTTTATTACTCTAGGTTGAGGTTTCGGGGTCTGGTGTTCGGTTTCTCATTTTCACAGAAATCCTCTGAAACCTAGCACCAGGAGGAACCAGAGATACGGTGGAACAGACGGGAACCCGAGGAACTCAAGTGGAGAGTAGAGGAGGCCAGTTTTAGACCATCCTTCATAAACCATGTTACAGGACCAGGATATACAATTTCTCCGGGTTCAGGATTCAATACAGGATATCCACACCTTGGCTTAGGATATACAGTTTCTCCGGGTTTAGGATACACTAGGAAATATCCACATCTTGGTCTAGGATTAACAGTTTCTCCGGGTTCAGGATACACTAGGAGATATCCACACCTTGGTCTAGGATACATCATGGTGTGAAGCAGTGTTTAACAGAATGTGTAAAGTGAAATTTGAAGCTTCAAGCATAATTTCCAAGATGAAAGTGATCCATTGAAAAATTTGAATTTAGCCCAGAGAGGGTTTAATGACTTAATTGGTCCTAAACCCCCTAGATTTGTAGACCTCAACGACGGCAAGGAACGGAGCTTCACAAGGGTGTCATGCTACAAGATGCCAAAAGGTCTCAGGTAGTATGTTCTTTGTATTTATATAGTTAGGTTTGTATGGGTGTATGAATGGGTGTCTGTTTGTTTGCTTGTCAGATTTCAACTTACGGAACCTCTGAACTTTAATTGAGGAACTTGGTATAACTACAGGAATGTGTTTTTTTATCTTGGTTTTCTAATGAGTGGGTTGACTTATAAAGCGATATACAGCTTTGTACTGTGAAAGAAAGACATTTTTGAGAACAAACTAAACCTTTCGTACACAAATAACGAACGATGGAAAAACGACTTCGATCGTTCAGAGAATTGAAAAATATCGTTTTTAAAAAATAAACGAATAAAAACAACAGAAAGGAAAGATACAAAATCGTTTAAATGATCTTGAAATAACGATAATTTTTTAACTGAACGAACAAATTTTCCGAAAGATTTTGAAATAAATGATCGTTTATTGAACGAACGATTTTTCGACAAACTTTGAAAAAACGAATTCTTTTTACTAATTAAACGAACAAAAGAAATTGATGGAAATTTAACCATCATTTTGAGAACGATTGAAAAAAAACCTGACCGCGCTCATCTCTAAAACACTAAGCACATATTATTAATCAAGATTTCTTGAATGATAAGAAATTTTAAAAAAAATTTTAAATTATAAAAAAATTTTCAGAAAAGTTACACAAAACTAAACGTACAGTGATAACCAGAAAAATATGGAATAGAATGACTACATTATAGCAATATTTACATGTACTTTGTACATGTTCTGTGTACATGTACGGTCGGTACATGTTCAAAGAACAATGGTACATATTAGAATCAGTCCATTCAATGTAAAAGGACAACAGTACAATTGCTTATTAGAATCAGTCTATCCATACACGTACAAAGAACACCAAAGCCCAAGACAAAGTATCGTTATGAAAACCAGTTTTGAAACCCTGGTTTCAAGAATGAGATTAGGCAGTTTTGTGGATATCAATCTTTTGTTATGAAATAATTTTTTATTTAATTTCTTCATATAGTCCATTTCTAAAATCTCTTTAATAAAAATCTACACAAATGTTAAGACCCCAAAAAGGAAACTTGGGAGTTTCGTTCTACGAATACGATACTCTTTTAAATTTCGGGCTCAGTACATATTAGAATCAGGCTATGCACGTACAAAGAACACCAGTACATTCTATAATCAGTCTATTCATGTACAAGGAAAACAGTACATATTAGAATCAGTCTTTGCATGTACTTAAAGAACAATGGTCCATATTGCAATCAGTCATGCAATTGAAAATTCAACCTCCCTTATGATTTATAATTTTTAAAGATGCTTGCGCTGGCACTGACCCATTTTTAAAAACCTAAAAAAATTCTTAATGTTTTATTGTAATTTTGAATGAACAATTTTTGCTGCCTGTTGGTAATTTTAATTTTTTTTTATATTGTTTTAGAGTCAATGTTACTAAATAAGTGATTTAATAAGTGCTTAGAAAACTATTTGCTTTGTAACAACATCAAATCTATATATAAATTTAGCTTGTCTGTTTCTTTGTTTGTCTGTTTGTTTGTATCCAATAAGCGTCAAAACGGCTGAACCGATCAGGCCCAAATTTTGTGTGGGACCCACGTAGCCCCAGGGTGGCCAATTAGACTTTAAATATGTAATCTTAAAATATTTTTATCCTAAATTATTTGATTAGTCTTCCTATTCCAAAGTTTTCTAGATATCACTGAACGCATCATTTGGTATCATTTTTTAAAAATTGAACCAAATATAACGAAAACATTATTCAAACCTGAATGAAATGAGTTGTTGCTGATTTTGTTCTTTAAAAAAAATCCAGAAAACGTTTTCTTAATTAAGGAAATATGACATGATTTAGGAGTGTAGATGCTAACTAGACATATCTTAATCAACTTTAATTGAAAGAATTTGAAAAGTTAGAAAGAATTTAATTTTCAAGTTTCTAGCCTGACATTATAAATTCCTTATTGTCTTACAACCGTCACGGGGGTTAGAGGGGAGGGATTGGAGGGTTGAGGGAGAGAGGGTTGAGGGAGAGAGGGTTGAGGGATTGGAGGGTTGAGGGAGAGAGGGTTGAGGGAGAGAGGGTTGAGGGAGAGAGGGTTGAGGGAGAGAGGGTTAAGGGAGAAAGGGTTGAGGGGAGAGAGGGTTGAGGGAGAGAGGGTTAAGGGAGAAAGGGTTAAGCCCGTTAAGGGAGAGAGGGTGTTGTAAAAATTAAAAACTGAACAAAACAAAACAAAGGCGGAAGGAGCAAACGGGTGTAAACTTTCAACATTTTTTAGTTTTACCAAAAGTATTTAACATTTAAAAAACTAAAAATATAAAAAAAAAACTATTTTTAATCGATTATGGCATTCTTCCATGAAATGCTCTCTTAAAATTATATTGTCAGCCCCGGCCCTAGTATTAGTTTCTGAGAAGGAGAGACAAGCATAAAGAAACAATTTGTATTATGATAACAATACCAAAATCGGGAAGAAAGAAGGCATTGTGATTATATTTTCTTTAGTCTTAGAACATTTAGATTGTTTTCTGATAATTTCAAGTAAACTATTTAGATTCAGGGATAAATAGAAATATGACTTAATTTTCAATATAATTAGTTCAGTTTAGAATTTATAAACAAAATACTGTTTTTTTCTTCAAATTCAATTCAAAAGTACTATCAAATTTATTGGGAAAAGTGTAATAAAAAGAAGAGCAATACTATTGAACAAAAGGTTGTTTTTGAAACTAACAAATTTTACTTAGTATTTAACTGCAAATATCATATTTGCACCTTTTTGTATGACACCTGGAAAATTATAGCAGCCTGGATCTATGTGGCTTCTATTATAATAACAGTCTGGATCTATGTGGCTTCTATTATAGCAGTCTGGATCTATGTGGCTTCTATTACAGCAGTCTGAATCTATGTGGCTTCTATTTTAATAACAGTCTGGATCTATGTGGCTTCTATTACGGCAGTCTGGAACTATGTGGCTTCTATTATAATAGCAGTCTGGATCTATGTGGCTTCTATTATAATACCAGTCTGGAACTATGTGGCTTCTATATTAATAACAGCCTGGATCTTTGTGGCTTCTATTAAAGCAGTCTGGATCTATGTGGCTTCTATTACAGAAGCCTAGATCTATGTTGCTTCTATTATAATAGTAGCCTGGATCTATCTGGCTTCTATTATAATAGAAGCCTGGATCAATGTGGCTTTTATTATAATAGCAGCTTGGATCAATGTGGCTTTTATTATAATATCAGCCTGGATCTATGTGGCTTCTATTATAATAGCAGCCTGGATCTATGTGGCATCTATTATAGCAGCCTGGATCTAAGTGGCTTCTATTATAATAGCAGCCTGGAATTATGTGGCTTCTATTATAGCAGCCTGGATCTATGAGGCTTCTATTATAATAGCAGCCTGGATCTATGTGGCTTCTATTATAGCAGCCTGGAATTATGTGGCTTTTATTATAATATCAGCCTGGATATATGTGGCTTCTATTATAATAGCAGCCTGGATCTATGTGGCTTATATTATAATAGCAGACTGGATCTATGTGGCTTCTATTATAATAGCAGCCTGGATCTATGTGGCTTCTATTATAATAGCAGCCTGGATCTATGTGGCTTCTATTATAGCAGCCTGGATCTATGTGGCTTCTATTATAGCAGCCTGGATCTATGTGGCTTTTATTATAATATAAGCCTGGATCTATGTGGCTTCTATTATAATAGCAGCTTGGAATTATGTGGCTTTTATTATAATATTAGCCTGGATCTATGTGGCTTCTATTATTATAGCAGCCAGGATCTATGTGGCTTCTATTATTATAGCAGCCTGGATCTATGTGGCTTCTATATTAATAGCAGCCTGGATCTATGTTGCTTCTATTATAGCAGCCTGGATCTATGTTGCTTCTATTATAGCAGCCTGGATATATGTGGCTTCTATTATAATAGCAGCCTGGATCTATGTGGCTTCTATTATTATAGCAGCCTGGATCTATGTGGCTTCTATTATTATAGCAGCCTGGATCTATGTGGCTTCTATATTAATAGCAGCCTGGATCTATGTTGCTTCTATTATAGCAGCCTGGATCTATGTTGCTTCTATTATAGCAGCCTGGATATATGTGGCTTCTATTATAATAGCAGCCTGGATCTATGTGGCTTCTATTATTATAGCAGCCTGGATCTATGTGGCTTCTATTATTATAGCAGCCTGGATTTATGTGGCTTCTATTATAATAACAGCCTGGATCTATCTGGCTTCTATTATAATAGCAGCCTGGATCTATGTGGCTTCTATTATAGCAGCCTGGATATATGTGGCTTCTATTATAATAGCAGCCTGGATCTATGTGGCTTCTATTATAATAGCAGCTTGGAATTATGTGGCTTTTATTATAATATCAGCCTGGATCTATGTGGCTTCTATTATAATAGCAGCTTGGATCTATGTGGCTTCTATTATAATGCATGACATTCCTTTTCCTCTTTTTCTCCGCTCATCTGCGAATTAAGTAGCCCTGAACAATTCTTCTCTGTAAAACGATTATTTTCATTTTTTTTTTAAATATTTGCAGTATCATGCAATATCGATTTCTTAGATTTCTCTTCGAGAATATTATTCATTTCAGATTTTTATTCTTAATTTAAAAATATAAACTGGGCTTCTGTGGCGACTCTTTCAAATTAACAATTTTTACTTTTAACAGTTGCTATAAAAGCAGTCGTATAAAACGCTCTCAATGTTGTTGTTGTTTAAAGAAATTGAGTCTTTGCCACAAAATCTGATTTTTAAATCCCATATATCTTTGCAACCTAATGTCGTAGACCTTAGATATTTCAAACGATGAATTCTGTTAGATCAAAAAATATAAGTTTCAATTATTAAAGGTTTGCACCATCAGGTTGAAAAGATATAAGAAATGGAAAAAAATGAGCTTTTGGCAAAGACTCAATTCCTTTTTGCGTTTTCAAAAAAATAAAT